CAGACATATGCAATCGCATATATCCAAAAGCACTCACCTCAGTTCTTTGAGCAAATCAGGCCTGTTAACTTTATTGCTCTTGCAACCCCTTTTCTTGGTCTCAGCAATGAAAATCCAATGTATGTTCGATTTGCATTGGATTTAGGTCTAGTTGGTCGGACCGGCCAGGACCTCGGTTTGAGTTGGACGGCACCGAAAGTTCGAAGCGGCTGGGGAGCCATTATTGCCGGAAGAGGAGAGTCTGCAAAAGACCCCGGCCATTCGGATCCTGGCTCCAAGCCACTTCTACGGATTCTTCCATGTGGTCCTGCCTATGAGGTTCTTAAGAAATTCCAGCATCGTACAGTGTACTCGAATGTGGTGAATGATGGGATAGTTCCTTTGCGGACGTCTTCTCTTTTGTTCCTAGACTGGAAAGGTCTGGATCGTGTCGAAAAGGCGAGAAGGGACAATGGGCTTGTCGGTACTATGGCCGAATGGGGATGGGCAGAGTTGACAGGCGCCAACTCGAAATCCCCGCGTTTCGCTCGCCCCGATGGAGAACCGCCTTTGAGTCTTCCGACAATGAAGACCGGTCATCGAAATGCATATTCTGCGACCGAGGTCCCGGTAAGGCCCAAAGACGACCAATTGGATGAAGACACAATCTCTCCGACGTCGGGACAATTTCTAGCACTACCCAGTCATGTGTCCAACCAGAGAATTCCAGAGGAGGGCGTCCTGAAGGAAAATCTCTCAAGAAGTGCACCTTCCAGTCCCCTGGACAGCTTCTTTTCGCTATTTCGTCTAAATCAGGGCAAGAACCCCCCTAATAGCAAGCATGCTAAAATTTATAAACGTAGTCAGACTCTGAGGACTTTTGAGACTGGCGATGGCGATGGCACAATGCCCATTCCTCATGGACATTCGTCGCACGAGCACGAAGGAGTGTACACGCCTCCAAAGACAACATTTTTCGAGTCTGCGGGAGACTTGTTGATGCCGCCTTTACCACCCGCGGATTTCATTTTGGACCCTGCGTCGCGACCCCGGACAATCTTCCACGACCGCATTTACCACCCCGGGGATATACCACCCCCTTTACCTGCAAAGCGACGCACAATAGCATTTGGTTCGTTACAGGGCAAGCAATCGAAGTCAGCGCCTACTCAGGATCCACCCGCTAGCATCGCGGACAACGAAAGTGGCCTTAAGGTTGAAGAAAAGATTGCGAGAGCTTATCACCGTGACCTGACATGGCGTAAGGTTCTTGTTCGACTTGAGCCCGATGCCCACAACAACATTATTGTGCGGCGCATGTTCACCAATGCCTATGGATGGCCTGTTGTGAAACACTTAGTTGATACACATTTCAGACATACGGCCACTGCGGAAATTAACGACTCTCTGAAGCAAAATGTGGAGTTGGCCAAGTCTCCAAATGTTGGTCCGACTAGTTCGGGTGATGAGGTTGAAGAGCAGTCCGAATCTGTCGATCCAAAGTCAGTAAGAAAGACAGACGATTTGCCAATTGTGTCCGATCTCCATGTGTCGGAAGATATATCTTCTGATCCGACCGACTCCTTACCGGCCGAAGACGAATCGCACATAGGCACCAACGACAGAAGTCTTGTATCGAGGCAGGATTCCGCACGATGGACTGACCGCGAAGTTGTTGAGGATGACAGCGAGTCCGGCTTCGAAGTGGAAACTCACGCTGGTTTTCGTCACATATAATAGTGCCTCTGGCTTTCATTGTACATATGGTTTCCTTAGACATATACCCTGTAATTATGCGCATATTATATTTGAATTGAGGCTTCTTTTTCTTCTCCATATTCGACTAGTCATGGAGGATTACGGGGCAGGTAATCAGTACTTTAATTCACCTTGGACATGGCTCCAGAACTCCTCCACCATCTCCTTTTGTCCAGCTCCGCCTGGAGAACCTCGGACAGCAAGATATTTCCGCCCGTCGAGACGAGCCTCCCAAACTCCCGGATTGCCGTCCGCCATAACGCCCCCGGCTTCAGAGAGGATAACCCACCCAGCGCAGACATCCCAGGACCAGCATCCACCCTCCCAATACAGATCCAGCGTGCCATCAGCCACGGCACATAAATTCAACGCAGCCGAGCCTAAACTCCGCATCGAGCGCACCATAGCTCCACCGTTTTCCTTAGACTTGCCCAGTTTCTCGTATGTCCGAACCTTAGTCTCCCAATTGTTCCCGCTGCGATCTGCGCCCCATTCAATGGCAATCAGAGCATTAGCAAGTCCCGACAGAGGCTCGACATTGTCGCCTTTAAGCGGCAAGCGAGTTTCATGATTGAGGAAAGCGCCTTGGCCTCGAATAGCGGAATAAAGGGCTTTCGTGGAAGGGTTATAGACCACCCCCACCGTGGGTATGCGTCCAACAGCGAACCCGAGCGAAACACAGGCAAATGGAAAGCCATGCACGAAGTTCACCGTTCCATCGATAGGGTCCACGATGAAGGTGGGGGCATCGGTCAATGGGCGTGCTGGGTCATATGTTTCCTCGCCGTGGAATCTGAGAGAGTATGTATCAGAACCATGCTCACAGCCACGAAAGAGAAAAGACATACTCGTAATGTGGGTATTTCTCCCTTAGCGAGGTCGAGATCATGTTCTCGACGGCACGATCGTATTCCGTGACGAGGTCAGCAGCTACGGAGGTCAGCTTTTTTCTTCTTTTGCTGTTTATATGAATACAGACTATTCATTTTGGATCCTGTGCCGCTGGTCTCTGGGAGTGCATTGTTGATGATCTCCCCGGCCTTGAAGGCCAATGAGACTAGAAAGTCATGGATTTCGTTGAGGTTTGGGTTCTCCATGGTGCAATTGAGATATTGAGATGGCAGATTTGAGTTCTACTTAGGTGTATAGCTGGTTGAAAGGTTAAAGATGGAGGAGACGAGCTCCGGGAACGCTAGAGGCGGGGCAATTCCGACCTCTTTCGAAGGAATATAGTAACGTCGACTTGTATACTGTATAGATATAGATTGATACCTATTATTGAATAACCTTATGCTCCTTAAGATTATCTATACCTAGGAATATGTTGTTGCATTACAAATCGCAAAAGATCCCTGGAGTATCTCCACGTTTCCAGTGACGTCGAAACCCCCACTTCTTCCGCGGCAAAAAAAAATCTTTTGAGATTCTACGATTTTGGAATTGACGACAACACACTCTCAGCGCTATCTGGCTTGTTGATTATACTCCAATATGCCGTCCGAACTCGAAGAGGTGCGTGCCTGCTGCCTACGATATCGATAAGCTCACTCACGTCTTTCTATAGCTGGTGGAATTCTTGCACCATGGCAACACCCAAATCAGACAAATCGGTACGGCAACTACTCCCACGGCGGGTATATATGATCTAACGGCTCGTAGCTTGCGAGAACCTCGTGGGCTTCTCCACAGCCCAGCCTGACTTGTTCAAGCGCCATCAACTCCTACCCGTCCGCGATTTGAAGCTTCTAGCCCGCGATTACATTGTGCGTTATCTGCGATCGTGGGGGGCGACTTTCGACTGATATCTTTGTACAGCCAATTGCGAAGAATGCATTGACCATGCTGGTCAACTTGTCTGGCGATGAAGAGGTGCTGAAACTTCTCGCCGAGGATGAGAAGTTTATCGAGACCTTGCTTGCGAAATTGACAGTGAGTTGTCTCGGATATCATACCTGTGGACAGTAATGGGGCTAATGTGTCTGATCTCAGAATCCCAAGGAGCCCAACGCCGATGAAGTGGCCATGCTTTTGGCTAATCTCGTCAAGTCCGAAAACCTACACAAACTGTTCTCCCTCAAGCGCAAAGTCCCCGAATCCGTATCTACCTCCGAGAATGTAGTCGATCAGCTGATGGACTGCTTCGTGAAGGGCGCCGAAGGCGGTCTCAACAAGCACGCCAATTATGATTACCTATCGTACGTGTTTGCCGACCTGTCTCAGACGGAAAAGGGAAGGGCCTATTTCACCCAACGCCAGGAGTACGATGATGTGGTCCCCATCACCAAGCTGACGGTATTCACGGAGCACCGGAGCGATATCCGGAGGAAGGGCGTTGCATCCACGATCAAGAACGTGGCTTTCGAGGTCGATTCGCACCCAATGCTCTTTGACGAGGACGGGGCCAACATTTTGCCTTACCTGTTGCTCCCGCTTGCAGGTCCAGAGGAGCTGTCAGACGAGGATACGGCGGATATGCTGCCAGATCTTCAACTGTTGCCGCCCGATAAGCAGCGAGACAGCGACACCAGCATCATCACAACCCACCTCGAAACCTTGCTTCTCTTGACCACAACTCGGGACGGCCGGGATAAGATGCGGGCAGTCAAGGTCTATCCTTTGATCCGCGAAACTCATCTGCATGTGGAAGACGAGAATGTGACAGAAGCATGCGATCGGTTAGTGCAGGTCCTGATGCGAGATGAGGAAGGTGAAGGTGAAGGGGAACCCGAACAAGCTCAAATCGAGGCGCCTCAGAACGAGGATGAAAAGGTCGTAGAACTGTTTTAGCGATTAGATACCAAATCAATTGTACATATGGAAATGAACACTGTACAACAGTAAATATTCAATGTTATTCCAATGTTGTATCTCTTACCTTGTATGTAACCTTCTGGAAAGGGAAGATAAATCTGCCGATGTCGGTGGGGCAGCCCACTACGACTTTAGTCCTTCACTAGCTCCGTGATTCTCCCTCTTGTGATTCCTCAATACCCAGATCGATCTCGAGCTAATGCACGACCTAACCTGAAATACTGAAAGTATTCCATCATCACCCCACCATCACGTCGGCCAATATTCCACTGCGGACGCGGAAGCTGTCTTGCCCCTCGGCTCCGAGGCGCAAGTGGCTTCCCGCTGAATCGGATCCAAGTGATTCTAATTTCGATGATTGCACAAGCGACAATGGAAACTACCCCGAAATCGACAATCTACCACCCGACGTGAACCCCGACACAGGGATTCTTCAGCGCTTTCGGGCCTTCATGTCGCGCGCCCCTCTTCTTCGCTCGTCGCCCGTCCTGGGGGCTCCCACTTACGGAGCATTGCGAAGCCCAGACGACTCGGAAGAGGATATCTCCATTTCGCGTGGTCAGAATGTTCGTGGGGGTCTACAACGAGTGAGCCTCGAAAATGGCATTGGGGGCTCTTCCAACGTACCAGGATCTACTCCGAGACGATCACATCCCTCTGCCAGGCGACGAAACAGCTCGTACGTAGAGAGACGCAATCGTCGGCCTTCGTCCGCTGCGTCCGATATAGGAATGGGCTCAGATTCCAAATACTCGTTTGCCACTGGATTGGCTGTACCGGGCAACCCGGTGATGCAGGAGACACCGGCGTCTTCACCATGTATGACAAGTGATGATGAGAATGTCCTCGACATTGATGATGATGATTCAAAATCCTCGGTTGAGGATCCTCCAGACAATTCGCCGTATGCCCAAGTACGAGCTTCGGTTCCGGCGACGGATGATATCTCTCTTTCTATTAACAGTATGCTTTCTTTCTGATGCTTGTTTCTGCTTATATCTAATATCCTCTAGCACCTCGGATGTGGATTCTTTCTTTGTTATTTTCTTTGACGGGGTCCGCCGCCAATCTTTTCTTTTCCTTGCGCTATCCCAGTGTTGCCATTACCCCAATCATTGCTCTTGTTCTAGTCCATCCACTGGGCAAATTTTGGGATGTGCTTTTCAAACAAACAGGTGACCCGCTCGAGATTTTCGAGAACGGGTCCCTTCACCACCGCGAATTACTCTCCGGTGAGATCGATGCTCCTCCTGTTCCGTTGACGTCCCGTGTCAGACTTTGGTTTGGCCAGGGCCGTTGGAACGAAAAGGAGCATGCTTGCGTCTACATTAGCAGCAACGTTTCTTTTGGATTTGCTTTCGCGACTGATGTTAGTACACCAACGAAATATTCATGACGAAGCTGACCAAGCCAGGTTATTGTCGAGCAACATAAATTTTACAATCAGGATGTTCCAATTATATACCAGCTGCTGCTCATAATATCCACTCAGGTTTTGGGATATGCATTCGCAGGTCTAACTCGACGATTCCTCGTGCGGCCATCCGCTATGATCTGGCCGGGAACCCTGATGTCCACTGCAATGTTTTCTACAATGCACAAGTCTGTCAACAAAAAGGCAAATGGGTGGAGTATCTCCCGATATAAATTCTTCGTTGTTGTGTGGGCAGGGGCATTTCTCTGGTATTTTGTTCCGGGACTGTTGATGCCTGCTCTAAGTTATTTTAATGTGATCACTTGGTTGGCACCCAAAAATGTGGTGATTTCGAACTTGGTAAGACACTCAGGTCACTTCCTGCTACTTTGACTGACTCTTCTAGTTTGGTGTTGCCTCTGGTCTCGGGATGTTCCCCTTGACGTTCGATTGGGCTCAGATTGCCTATATTGGCTCCCCATTACTCACGCCTTGGTGGGCCGCGGCTAACATTGTGACGGGACTGGTGGTTGTCATCTGGGTAGCCGCCCCGATACTTTGTAATGTCTCCCCATCTCATCTCATTTGACTCTGCTGACCAAACGAAGATTATAAGAACGTTCTTTTCTCTGCATATATGCCCATAGTTTCAACAGCAGTGTTCGACAATGCTGGGCGGCCATACAACGTGAGCCGAATCTTGACCACGGACTTTTTGTTCGATGAAAAGGCCTATCAAGACTACTCCCCAGTTTATCTCCCAATCACCTATGTGCTGTCTTACGGTGTTCAGTTTGCTGCTTTGACATCCCTTGTCACTCACACCATTTGCTGGTACGGGAAGGACATCTGGCATCAGACCAGAAAGGCTTTTGAGGAAAGACAAAATGTGCCAGATATGGAGACGTACCAGCCCCTTCGTGCAAGCAATGATACGAGTCGACAAAGTTCTGAATTCCAAAGGACCATCTCGCATGAACCGAGCCAGGAAATTCCATTGGGAGGGGAAGATGTTCATTGTCGCTTGATGAGGCGCTATAAGGACGCTCCCCTCACGTGGTATCTCCTTGTGTTCATTTCTATGCTCGCCATTGCCATCTTCACAGTGGAATAGTACGTTTTCCCCTCTCTTTGACCTTTCATAGCAGCTGACCCTAGCCCAAAAGTTATCCGACACACCTACCTTGGTATGGGCTACTCTTGGCTCTTGGTATTACTTGTGTGTTTTTCATCCCAGTGGGCATCATCATGGCTGTCACCAACCAACATAGCAGCCTCTATCTGATCTGCCAACTCCTTTGCGGTATTGTATTCCCGGGAAGGCCTGTAGCGAACATGATTTTTGTGACCTACTCATATATCAGCTCTGCACAAGGGATCAAGTTCTCCTCTGACCTCAAGCTCGGCCATTACATGAAGATCCCACCACGAATTCTGTTTGGCGTCCAGATGATGGCGACTTTGGTCTCAAGTCTGACCCAAATTGGTGTTCTGAACTGGATGTTCACTTTCGTCCCAGGACTTTGCACCCCGGAGGCCATCAATGGTTTCAATTGTCCCATCGCTCGAGTCCATTTCAACGGCAGCATTCTCTGGGGAGTCGTTGGCCCACAGCGCTTCTTTGGCCCAGGAGGGCTATACCGTCCGCTTGTCTGGGCCTTTCTGGTGGGAGCTGTCGCCCCCCTCGGAGCGTGGCTTCTGGGGAGACACCGGAAGAAGAGCTTCTGGCGTATGGTCAACTTCCCTATCTTGTTTGGCAGTCTGAGCTGGATACCACCTGCAACCGGGCTTAACTTTTCCATCTGGGCCCTTGTATGCTTTGTGTTCAATTATGTGATCCGGCGAAGGAGGACCGCATGGTGGGAAAAATATGCAATGACCTTGTCGGCCGCATTGGATTCAGCGTTGGCATTTGGGGTGGTCGTTGTTTTCTTTGCCTTCATTTACCCAGGCTTGGTCGATGGTTTCAAATGGTGGGGCACGGAGGTCTATAAACAGGTAACTCCTTAATCTTCCGGGCGTTTGATGTCTGCTAACTGTGTCAAGGGCTGTGATTGGGTTGCTTGTCCATACAGACCACTGGAACCGGGCCAACGATTCGGTGAATAGATTTTGCATTAATTGAAAAAAAAATAGAAAGTCCAGTGAAGCCACACAAAACTATACATGTATGTAGATAGTATACTACCTAGGTACATGTGGCACCTAATCAAATAGAAAAGCAAGAATAGTCGGCCGCTCGCGCTGCTTCTGTCCTTGACGACTTCGGACTTAGACATTACTTACTGGTTGGTTCAACTGCGATGTTTTGATCTGTGGTCTTTTTCCTTTTCGATTCTCTTCTCCCAATTGCGATTGAAGGTTAGGGATGTCCTACAGGTACCTAGTCCAGGAGGTGGTCTTTGAGTAAACCTTAGAGCCTCCGGGTGCACGGACCAAACGGCCCGGAGACCTCACCGAGGCACGTGACCGCGTGGGCGGGACGGGTAAACATTTGCTCCGAGGTCTACCGTCATACCTTCGGCCCAGTGCCTCTGCTCTTTGAAAGTGACCTTCCCATTTCTCACTCTGTTTTAAATTTGCCGCCCCCTGTCGGAGCACAAAGCAGGCAAAGGCTTACATCTGTTCCGCGTTTTCACCCCTGGCGCTTTTCGTTGCATCGCTTTTGACCACTCGTACAATTCTGTTTTGTACATCGGCAAGATGTCGACCCCAACGAATCCCTCGAATGCTCGCACTCCAACTGGGCCAAATGGTGCACCGCTAATGAGGATGCGTCGTCCAAAAGCAGCGGATCCCTTAGTTCGACCCAAGAGAAGACCTGTCCCCAAACCAGCTGGCGCCGCTCCCGCCCGGAATGGAACAGCTACCAAGACTCTTCCATCACGGCCGTCCCACCCCCAGGCGATCCTTCCGTCCGAACGACCTATGCTTGAGCTTTCAAACAACAACATGGCAGCGAATGGATTCAGCGGTCCTTTGCTTAGTGATAAATACGTTGATTATCCGGTAGTGACGACAAAGCGAGCTCTGATGGAGGGACTGAAACACCACATTGCGCGATTTGCCTCGAAGAAAAGCGTAGACCCACGAGACGAATCACAATTCACACGACCAGTCCGACTCCATCGCCGCGACCCGCGTGCACGAACTCATGACCCGAATTCAGGAAGGTCCGAGATCGATGGCCAGCCGATGGATGAAGCTGAACGCGAAGCTTTTGACGCTCGGAAGGCAGCACGCGAAAAAGAGCGCGCTGAGAACCTTTCCCAAATCGCGCCCGCCCTCGGCTCTACCTCGAAACGACCAAATGCCCCGAAGCAGAAGACGCAGCAGGTTTTCAAGTCGGATATGACCCCTGAAGAGATTGCAAGAGCACGTATCAAGTACGAAGAGGCCTTGCCATGGCACCTGGAGGACTTCGACAACCGGCACACGTGGGTTGGAAACTACGAAGCAGCTTTGTCCGAAACACACGCAGTCTTTGTCCTCGACAATGGGAAGATGAGAATGATTCCGGCCGAGAAGTGGTACAAGTTCAATGCTAAGAGTAACTTCAAGGCTTTGACCATTGATGAAGCAGAGAAATTCATGGCCAAGAGAGTGAAAGACCCTCGATGGTTCATGGAAAAGCAGCAGCAGTTGGAGCAAGAAAAAGAATTGGAAACATACGCCAAGCAGCGCAAAGTCTATGCCGGAAAACAGGGCACAAATATCAAGGGCGAGGGATTGGAGGCTGGTGAAATGGATTTCGAAGAGGATCGATTTGCCGACGACGAAGAGCATGATGATCTCTTCAATGAGGATGAAGATGCAAAGGATGCTGAAAAGAGGATCAAAGAGGACCAGCTCAAGGCGAATGTGTTCAATCTCAAGGACGAGAAGGAATACGACGCTGAAGAAATGCGAGAGAAACGTGAACGAGAGGCCCGGCGTGTGTTGGGCAAGGGTGTGCGCAAGGCTCTAAAAAGGAGAGAACGGAACTTTGATTACAGCAGCGGTTCAGATGTCAACCCGTACACGGATGAGGAGGTAAATTTTCATCCATCTTCAACAGCAAGCCCAAAGCTAATGTGGACAGAGCTCCGACGACAGCGAAACCGAACGGGCCAAGGAGGAGGAACGGAAGAAGGCAGAAGAGGAAAAGAATCAGAAAGAAGCGATCTCCTCCAAGGGAACAAGTACTCCCTCTGGTCGCTCTAAGCATACAGACGCTTTAAAAAAAGCTTCAGCTGCTGGTTCTCGGAAAAGGATTGGATCACCAACTGCTTCCGATGCGAGCGGAACCGATACATCTCGAAAGAAGGCCAAAAGCATGCACCTGCCTGCATCTCAACCCCCATCGCGTCCGATCTCTCCGTCCGCTTTGCAGGTATGTACAATCATTCCCCTTTGTCAATGCATACTGACTTATCTAGGGCAAGAAACGCGTGCGAAACATCCCTGGTGGCGCTGGATCTGGCAGTGATGTCGACACTGGTGCCGGCTCTGGGGCTGAAATGACCGAGGGTGGCAAGATCAAGAAACTGAAACTCAACCCCCCTACTTCGGTTTCTCGTGGCGGCACTCCACAAGGGTCCCGCGCCGCCAGTCCTTTGCCTCGACCCCCTGGAAGCCGTGCCAACAGCCCCGACGGCCCCAGAGGTGAGTTCTGGTCAAAATCTATCTTTTACAAGAAATAAGCTAACCATCTGCAGGCCCTCGTGTGTCGACTCCGATTTCTGGAAACCAGACGTTCCCGACGGCCGGGGAAATTCATGCAGCCATCCCCGCATCAGGCATCCTCAGCAGCGACCTCTTGAAAGTTTTCCGTCCTCGTATTGGCGAATCCAAGGAGAACCACCGGAGATTCATCGCCATTGTCAAGGATGTCAGCGTCTACGGAAAAGAGGATCGGATGCTGCGACCAGGTCCCTGGAAGGGGAACTGAGGTTTGCTCAAGGTAGTTCCAAATTAAGATCAAATGTCGAATACTTTCAATGTTTTTACTTTTATTTCCTATCTGTTAATCACTGTCCAGCAGACACCTTGATACTGTCTTTTGCCCTGGAATGCTTTAACGTGAATTTCTTCCGTATGCGGTCTATCCTTGTTGTTCATAGTTCACACCACCCGCATTCTGCACTTCTATCACAGTGCATAGCGACCACTTGGGACTTTGGTCCTATTGGCTGTTAACAATGGTGAATTGGGTTTCGAAGCTTCTATACAACCTTAAAAACAAGCTTCCAAGGTTCCAAGATTAGGTAGTTCCCATACGGGAACTATCCATGGATGGGGTCATCGCATCCTCTACAATGAACATCCTGACTGGCCTCAAGCCCCTAACATTTAATACCTTTACATGGAGCTAGCCAGGCAGCAGTGGCTTCCACCTTGCTCGCCGAGGGTTTCAACTCAGCGCTCGTCTTGCATAGGTACATATGTAGAGGATGGTTGCTCGCGGTAAGGATATTAGGTGTATGGAAGCGTAACCCACCCTTTTACATCGTATACAGGATGGTCTTTGGTTTCTTTTTTTAACAATTATATCGTTACTCAAGAGAATATAGACTCTAAATGACAATTCGAAAGAAAGATATAACAAATGTCATCACTCCCATTATAAACACAACGAACCAGGAGACGAAGCTGGTTCGGAATCTAAACATAAATCACAATCATTACGTCTCAACCCAAGAGAATATTTAGACCCTGGGATCTATATGCGAATACAAAAAGAAAATGCACGGCGCTCTAAAACTGCGAGACCGCAACAGCAACAGCTTGCGAGTCACTGTGGCTGATGCTAACGCTGACCTGCTTCACACCCGCCTGCTTGGCGGCGGCGGCGGCAGCACCATGAAGCTGGAGATATGTTAGCGTTGTCACTGGAGCCATGGGGATAATCATGCACTTACTTTCACCACTGGAGCGCCGTTGGCATCGACTCCGATCTCAATTTCCTTCAGGGCAGCACCGGCACCCTTGCTGCTGACACCCAGTGACTTGAAGACAGCTTCCTTAGCGCTCCATCGGCCTGCAAACGAGGACTGTGGGGAGGCAGCCTTGCGGCAGTAGTCCTGTTCACTCTGAGTGAAGTTGCGCTCGACAAAGGTCTCGTTCTCAATGTTGACGGAATCGATGTGCTCGACGTCAACACCGATCTTGGAGTTCTCGGCGGCATTGGCCTTGGCAAGGGACTCGAGGGTCTGGCGAGTGCTTTCGGATTCCTTGGTTTCGGGGGCAGTGGCCGAGTACTTGAGCTCAGAGGTCTTCTTGTCGACAGACACGCGGTAGTCGGGGTTCAGGAAGATCTTGCTCTGCAGATCATCTTCGTAAGGAGCCTTGGTCTTAGCGACGAAGATGCTGTTGTTGATCAGGCCATTGTGGAAGTAGCGGTAGGCCTTCTTCTGGCGGGCCTCAACCTTGGTCTTGTAGGCCTGGTACTGAGCCTGGTCAAGAGTGGCATAAAGGTACTTGGGGTGGATACCAATAACCTGCGCACCCTTCTGACCGAAACCGAAGGAGGTGACGGAGAACGCCTTGACACCGTCGGTCTGGATGCTGCGGCTGGGGTAGACAATGTAGTCGAACTTTTCCATGACCTTATCAACGTTGTCGGCGTTCCGATTGCCCGGCACGAGACCGCTTTCCAAGACCTGCAAGCAGCCGTTGAACATCCAGGCACCAGCGGCACCCTTGGGGTGACCAGTGAGGTACTTCTGGAAGATACCCATCACTGCATTACCCTTGGAGCGTCCAAGGTGCTTCATCTGTTGGCAGATGACATCGGACTCGTTCTTGTCGTTTGCGACAGTCGAAGTACCGTGGAAGGATGCGACGTCGATGTCGTCCACTGTAAGACCCCAAGTAGCCATGGCACCACGGAGGGGAGCAATGCGTGGATCCTGCTTCCAGAAGTTGTTACCCAGACTGTATTGGGCGTCCTTCTCCTGGCGAATAGCTTCGCGCTCAATGTGCTGAGCACGCTCCTGCATGTAATCAGCCTCGTTGAAGGTCTCATCGCT